ATTGCAGCCTCAAACTCCTGGCTCAAGCAATTCTCTCACCTCAGCCTCCCAAGTAGCTGGTACTACAAGCCCATGCCACAGTTCCCAGCTATTTTTATTTTATTTTATTTTTTATAAATGGGGTTTCTTTATGTTGAACAGTCTGGTCTTGAACTCCTGAGCTAAAGTGATCCTCCTGCCTCAGGCTTCCAATGTGCTGGGATTAAAGGCATGAATCACCGCACCTGGCCTTTCATCAAAATGGTATTTTGATTCATGTGTACACCATGTAATAAAATAAACGTAATTAGCAAATTCATCACCTCAAACATTTATCATTTCTTTGTATTGGTGACATTCAAGATACTCACTTCTAGCTATTTGAAAATATACTATAAATTGTTAACCATAGTCACCCTACAGTGCTTTGGAACACTAGAACTTATTCCTCCTGTCTAGCTGTAATTTTGTTTCCATGAACCAACCTCTTCCTATCTTCTTCCCATATTTTTCCCAGCCTTTAGTAAGCACTATTCTACTCTCTACTCCTATAAGATCAACTGTTTTAGCTTCCACAGACATATGAGTAAGAACATGTGCTGTTTATATTTCTGTGCCTGAATTATTTCACTTAACTTCCTTCAGAATCATTCATGTTTCCATGAATGACAGGATTTCATTATTTCCTTGGCTAACAGTTTGGCATTATGATATATGTCACATTTTCTTTACCCTTCATCTATTGATGAACATTTAGGTTGATTCCATACCTTGGGTATTGTGAATAGTGCTACAATAAACATGGCAGTGCAAATATCTCTTCAATACACTGATTTCCTTTGGATATGTACTCATTAGTGGGATTTCTGAATCATATGACAGTTTTATCTTTAGTTTTGCGAGGAACCTCCATACCATCATGATTGTACTGATTTACAATTCCACTAATGGTGTTTAAGAGGACTCCTTTCTCCTCATTCTAACCTACATTTGTAACTTTCTGTCTTTTTGATAATTGCCATTCTAACTGGGTTAAGATGATATCTCATTGTTACTTTGATTTGCATTTCTCTGATGATTAGTGATGCTGAGCATTTTTTCATGTAACTGCTGGCCATGTCTTCTTTTGAGAGTTGTCTATTCAGAACACATGTCCATTTTCAATTAGGTTATTTGATTTTTTGCTGTTGAGCTGTTTGAGTTTCTTGTCTATTCAGATGAATGGTTTGGAAATGTTTTCTCCCAAGTGTTTTTTTTGTTTTGTTTTTTTGTTTTTTTGTTTTTGTTTTTTTAAAGTCTGTTCCCTTTGCTATGAAAAATTGTTTTGGCTATTCACAGTTTTTTGTAGTTTCAAACACATTTTAGATTCTTTTTGTCTCTTCTTGTGATAAATATCATTTTTACTTTGACAGATATGGCATTGAATCCATAGATCACTTAGGGTAGCATGGTCATTTTAACAATATTAATTCATCCAATTTATGAACAAGAGATGTCTTTCCATTTTTCTTGTCTGTTTCAATTTATTTTACCAGTGTTTTATAGTTTTCCTGGTAGAAATATTTTATCTTGTTTGTTAAATTTATTCTTAGATTTTTTTTTGTAGTCAGTGGAGATAGAATTGCTTTTCTGATTTCTTTTTCCAGTTAGCTCATTATTATTATGACTGATTTTGAATGTTGATTTTGTATTTTGTAACTTTAGTAAATGATCATTTCTATGAGTATTTTTGGGGGAGTCTAGGTTTTTCAAATATAAAAATCATGTCATCTGCATACAGAGAAAATTTGACTTTCTCCTTTTCTCTTTGAAGCCATTTATTTCTTTTTCTTGCCTAATTGCTCTGGCTACAACATCTAGTATCATGTTGCCTAAGAGTCATGAGATTAGGCATACTTGTATTGTTCTAGTTTTTAGTAAAAAATTTTAGCTTTTCCCTATCCAGTATGATGTTAGCCGTGGGTTTGTCATCTATGGTTTTTATTGTGTTGAGGTATGTTTCTTTTATATATACTTAACTGAACATGTTATTTATAAAGGGATGTTGAATTTTGTCAAATGTTTTTTCTGCATCTATTGAAATGATCATATGTTTTTCCTTCATTCTATTGATGTGACGCATCATGTCTATTGTTCTGCATATATTAAACCATCCTTGTATCCCTGGGATAAATCCCACTTGATTATGGTTTATAATATTTTTGATGTGCTGTTGGAAGTGGTTTGTTAGTATCTTGTTAATTTTTTCACCTATGTTCATCAGCATATTGGCTGTATTTTGTTGTTGTTATTACATCAATACTTTTGATGTGCTTTTGGAAGTGGTTTGCTAGTAGTTTGTTAATTTTTCATCTGTGTTCATTAGCATACTGGCTGCATTTTGTTGTTGTTATTACATCCTTATCTGGTGTGGGTATTAGGACAATGCTGGCCTCATAGAATGAGCTTGGAATAATGCCTTCACTTTCAATTTTGTGGTAAGGTTTGAGAAGAACTGGTTCTAGTGCTTCTTTGAAAGCTTAGTAGAATTTAGCAATGAATTCATCCTGTCTTGTGGATCCAGTGGGTCCATCCTGGACTTCTTGTGGGGGTTGAGGAGAGACTTTTATTACTGATTCAATTCGTTACTAACTATACATCTGTCCAGGTTTTCTATGTCTTTTTGATTCAATTTTGATAGATTGTATATTTCCGTAATTTATTTACTTTCTTTAGATTTTCCTTTTTTTTTTTGCATAAAGTTGTTCACTAAGCCTTGTATTTTTGTCTGAAGCAACATTCTAGTCAGAGTGACAAATATGTAATTAATTAATGTTATCTTCACAAAATAAATGTAAGTCATGTTAAAGTAATATATTAAAGTACATGTCTACTGTATTTTCCTGAAAGTTACTTTAGATTAGAACTTGAAAATGAATAAGTTTCTTGTTTTTTGCATTTATTTATTGTATTAAAACTGAAGAGAAATTATCCCAGATTTAATGTTAGATTGGTGTATTAGTCTGTTTTCATGCTGCTGATAAGGATATACATGAGACTGGGCAATTTACAAAGAAAGAGGTTTGAGGTTTATTGGACTTATAGTTCCATATGACTGGAGAGCCCTCACAATCATGAAGGAAGGCAAGGAGGAGCAAGTCACATCTTACATGAATGGCAGCAGGAAAAGAGAGAGCTTGTGCAGGGAAACTCCCATTTTTAAAACCATTATACCTTGAAAGACTCATTCACCCTAAGAAGAATAGCGCAGGAAAGACGTGCCCCCATAATTCAATCACCCCCACTGTGTTCTTCCCATGGCAAGTGGGAATTGTGGGAGTTACAATTCAAGATGAGATTTGGGTGGGTACACAGCCAAACCATATCAGTTCCTGCAAACATAATGCAATTGTGGTTTTCACCTTTAAAAGTAATGACAAAAACCAAAATTATTTTTGCACCAATCTAATACAACAGAAGATGGCAATCAGTCACCTGAAAATTTTCAACATTTTCTGTTTATTTTAAAATGAATATTCATAATATAATTTGTAAAGATACATGTGATTTTGGAAATATACTCACATTACTGAAAATCTTAAGATTAAATTATAATACATAATTTATTTGACAGAGATAGAGGTATTATATTCTCACTTAAAAGATATTTTTTAACAAAGCATAACCATAAAAATGAGTTATGCATATGTCCAGTGGTTTCTGATGTGTTTAAATGATTCAGCTCTGTAAATTATTAGTAAGCTTGTTTAAATTATTCATTGGGGATATATATAGATATGACTATGCTTTTACACTTAAAGTATTTTCTAACTATTCACAGTATAGTAGTCTTGATGTCAAATGCTTTCTTAAGACCCTTATAACCTTGTCCCTGATATGGAACCTGTACATAGAGCAAACTTCAACTTCCTTTGAATGTCATTCATGAAAAATCACATGAACAACAATTGAAATATAAAGACCTCTAAAGTGACAAAGATAAATTTGAGACGAAAGATCTGTGTTTGACAAATACGGATTTGTTTGGATCTCAATATAGTACTTTATAAAAAGTTAATCTTCAAGGGTTTCAGGAAAATATTTAAACAATCTTTTAAACTTTTAGTTACTTTGAGACTTAAACAGCTCTCTAATATCTGATTGTATAGTATTTCTAAATATAATTTTATCAATAAAATGTGGTATCACACAGCTAAGAAAAAATGTTAAGTGTCGCATTTCTCATTGGCAAAATATGATTGCAATATTTCTACAATATATCTTATACCAATTAAATATAAAAGTTTAAAACACCCAAACCTAATACATGCCTAAATAAAATGCTAATTCCCTCTACTCCTTCTAATCTGTCCACTTTCTAGTAGAACCACGTTTTCTCAATGTTTAAGTACTCATATGCTTGTGCTTTCTCTCTCTCCGTCTTTCTCTTTCTTAATGAAAAACAAATTTAATTGTATATAGATACATATACATATAAGATCTAGCAAAATATATACAAAATATATAGATACCCATATATCACACATATAAAATATGATGCAGAATATATTACTATATTATGTTATATTCTTCATTATATATTAGATATATTCTGCATATAATATATATTATAAATATTCAGAATACATAATTTATATATGCACACAAACATATGAAACAGAAATAGTCTCCCAATTAAATCTTGATTCGTATAAAACTTAGACACTATCATTGTTTAGAAACAGGAAGGGGAACATCACACACCAGGGCCTGTTATGGGATGGGGGGAAGGGGAAGGGATAGCATTGAGAGATATACCTAACGTAAATGACGAGTTAATGGGTGCAGCACACCAACATGGCACCTGTGTACATATGTAACAAACCTGCACGTTGTGCACATGTACCCTAGAACTTAAAGTATAATAATAATAATAATAATAATAAAGAAAATGTCTGCTCATTTTCAAAGAAAGATGCCTGCTTTATTTTCTAATGTAAAATAATAGTTGCCTATTAAGATAATGCCAGTTGGCTGCTGCCACCACTGCCACGCCGCTGCTGCCTTAGTTATGCCGAAGCAAGCGTTCTCTGTGGACATGACCTGTGGAAGCTGTGCTGAAGCTGTCTCTCAAGTCCTTGATAAGCTTGGAGGAGTTAAGTATGACATTGACCTGCCCAACAAGAAGATCTGCATTGAATCTGAGCACAGCGTAGACACTCTGCTTGCAACCCTGAAGAAAACAGGAAAGACTGTTTCCTACCTTGGCCTCGAGTAGTAGGGACCTGGTCCCCACAACCCACAGGATGGACCAAAGCGGGCAGGATGCTGATCCTCCCCTGGCTTCCAGACAGACCTGGGACTTGGCAGTCATGCTGGGCAATGGTGTTCCTGTGGAGACCCTCAGTTGTCCTATTCCTTCCTAGCTTCCCCGCAATAAAATCAAGCTGCTTTTGTTGGAAAAAAATAAAAAATAAAAAAAGATAATGCCAGTATCTGTAAAAACAACCCCCAGATATATAATAACTTATATGTAATGAACGTGCATTTTTTACTCACAGAAAATAGAAATGATTCTTCAGCTAGCAATTCTCCAATTTGTTATGTCACTGTCTTTAAGTGGCTTATACTCTTAAAGTGTAAGTTTGTATTAAATTAGTGATTGGGAATAATATGACAATTTTGGAAGTTTTCACCAGCCAGGGCTGTAAGTGCCTCAATCAATTTTCTCATAGTCCACTGTTTAGAATTCAATCACATTGCCGTACCGAGCTGCAGAAGAGGATGCGTAATGGAATTATGCTGTGTGTCCAGGAAGAAGAAGAAAGGCGTTGAGTTTTATTGGCATTGAAAAAAAAAAACCCTCAGGATATTTTATTTTTATTTTATTTTTTATTTTTTGAGATGGAGTTTTGGTCTGTTGCCCAAGCAGGAGTGCAATGGCACAATCTCTGCTCACTACAACCTCCACCTCCTGGGCTCAAGCGAGTCTTCTGCCTCAGCCTCCCGAGTAGCTGGGATTACAGGCGTGTGCCACCACACCCAGCTAATTTTTGTTTTTTCAGTAGAGATGAGGTTTTACCATGTTGGCCAGGATGGTTTAAAACTCTTGACCTCAAATCATCTGCCCGCTTTGGCCTCCCAACAGGATATTTTAAGGTAAAAACCTACTATTAAATGAAAATGATTGTTAGTGAGCTACATAAAGATGGCCTAATAGTTTTCCTGAGTACAGGTCAATACCTGTGAAAATAAAAATAAACAGTGATAACAAAAGTTATATCCATGATTTAGGGGTAGTAATTTGAAAAGTAATGATATTTTTATAAACATATAAAAGAATATACTAGAAAGATTATCACAGTGATTGGGAAAGACTATAATAGTATAAGGGTCAATAATTTTTCTGGGGAAGATTCTACTATTGCTAGAAATGCAATAGAAATGCAAGTAGATAATTGAGCTGATCACACTAAACTTAAAAAAAAAGAAAACTAAGAAAGAAAAACCTTTACACATAGTGTGGTTAAAACAAAGATCAGAGTTTTTGTTTGTCCGGTTGATTGGTTGTTTTTTTCCAAGACAGTGGATTGGAGACATTGTGAGTATGCCTTTCCCAGTTAGATGGGCAAAATAGTGTGTAGAGATTCATGCTGTGAACATTTTTCTAAGAAGTGACATAGAAAATCAACAGGAAAACCAAAGGAAACCACAGATGTTTTGAAAGAAGTGATAGGCTGAAGCCTACGCTGTGAACCAGGCAGAAAACTGTAAGACTCCAGAATGTGAGAAGGGAATAAACTGCCTCCAGGGTATACACTGCCACTGGAGAACCTGGCAATCCAGGCCTTAACCCTACCTAGTGCTGGAGTTGATTGAGTTAGCGGTAGGAAGTATATGAGAAGGAGTGTCATTGGGGCATGCTTTGTGTGCAAATCCCGTTTCCAGCAGGCATAGAAGGAAGTCCTTCCTGATCTTACCTCACAGGGGGCTCACAGAAGTCTGCCAACTAACTCAGGCAGCTGCCAAAGGTTGAAAAAAACTTCCAACTAACATTTGCAATATAATTTTGAGTAGGGACAAACCCCCTTGGCCAGAACCCAAGGGCAAGTAAGAAGTGTGCTGTAGTCAAGGGCACAGGAGCTGGGTGCCCCTACTTCACTGGTAGACTGGGAGGGGCATGGCCTGAAAGCCATGGTTTCTGTCTCTGCAAGAAAATCTATGGTCTGTGGCAGTTTTGAGTTCTGACTACAGAATGCCCGGAACTTAGCTAGGTGCTGCTAGTGAAACACGGTGAATGTCACACCTGCCTTGCCAAGTGTGTGGAAGCTGGGTGAGGCTAACTGCCCCCTGTGATCCCCTACTACCCATGCAGACTCTTCTGCTTCAGCGGAGGCAGAGCTGCTCCTCTCTGAAACATTACCTCAGTGGGCAGAGAACTGCCCACCAATCCGCACTGGAGCCACTGCTTGTGCCACACATGAAGAGCCAGAGAAAAGTCTTGCCTGGCTCAGACCCCACCTACTTTTGCCCATCTACTCACCCTGGTAGCTAAACACAAAGGACAGAAGTTTCTGGGAGCTCTATGGCCCCACTCATTGGCTGAGACGTCAGAGCACCTTCCTTGGGTAATATAAAGCAAGCGGAAATCCCATTACTACTGCCACAGCTGGTGCTTTATTGCAAGCATCACCTCCTAGATGGAGTCCAACTGATGAGGTCTATTACAACAGAGATCCCCAACCCCCGGACATGGACTGGTACAGGTCCCTGGCCTGTTAGGAACCAGACATCACAGAAGGAGGTGAGCAAGTATTATTGCCTGAGCTCCAGCTCCTATCAGATCAGTGGTGGCATTAGATTCTCACAGGAGCACGGACACCACTGTGAGCTGTGCATGTGAGGGATCTCAGTTGCATGCTCTTATGAGAAGCTAATGCCTCATGATCAGAGGTAGAATAGTTTCATCCTGAAACCATTCATGTCCCCGGTCTGTGGAAAAGTTGTCTTCCATAAAACAGGTCCCTGGTGCCAAAAAGTTTGGGACCACGGCATTACAACATCTGCAGGCAGAATAACTCAGTGCTCAGGAAGGAGAAAACTTTTTCATTATCTCAGCTATCACCATTGCCTGCATCGCCGTGCCTAACCAGGAGGTCCTGAGTCTGTCTGCATGAATAGTTCATTATTACTATAACTGGCATTTAAGAAAGCTCACACACTAAGGCTTTTTATACCAAGGAAACACAGAGTCTATTTTACTCCGCTGCTACCCCCAGCGCTACCCCCATCACAGCTGGTGCTCGTATCCACTGCTGGGAGTCTTGATGACAGGTCACATAACTGGACCCCTTAGAGACATTCCTCAGCAGCAGCCTGGAGTGTGGCAGTTCCACTGGCTGGCTAAACCTAGAGGAGCAGCAGGATCCACAGGACTCTGGCCCTCAGGTACTCCTACTCCTAAGGGAAGATGGAACGCACCACATCAAAGGAGCACCTTGTGGGACAAAAGAATCCAGGTGTGTGGTCTCGAGTCCCAACACTTTCTGCTTGTGGGAGGTTTCTTTCAGCAGAGGCACAGTGCAGTGCCAGGCTCAGCAGGGAAAGTCTGCTGCTCTACCCCAACAGTCAAGCAGGCTTGTAAAGGGCCTTGGAGAAGGGGATTTCTTCTTCCTCTCACCCACCAGTACAGACAGAGCTGGGATTTCTCGCATGGGGACTTGGCACGGGTGCACCTGTAGACAGCCTTACTGGAACACTTCAGTGTGACTGAATCCCAACAGGAGGAGGGCCCTCCTGATTCAGGCTTGTACAAGAGGTAGAGTTTCAGTGCTACATCAAGCATTAGCATTCCTGCGGAGGAAAAGAGGTGCCTGTCTAATCTGAATGGCTGGAACACTGAGTCAAGACTGTGACTGGAAGGTGGATCACTTTCCTGCTGGCCTGGCAGGTCAGCTGTAATAGTTGCCTCCCTTCTCCCTGAAAAGACTTTAGTGTATTTCACTGAGAGCTTCCAAGTCACATCTGTCAGGGATGAGACCCTTGCCCACCAGTGAGCATTGCATTTACCTACTTTTTTTTTTTTGAGACGGAGTCTCGCTCTGTCGCCCAGGCTGAAGTGCAGTGCTATGATCTCGGCTCACTGCAACCTCCGCCTCCTGGATTCAAGCAATTCTCCTGCCTCAGCCTCCCGAGTAGCTGGGATTATAGGCACTCACCACCATGCCCAGCTAATTTTTGTATTTTTAGTAGTGATGGGGTTTCACCATGTTGGCCAGGCTGGTCTCGAACTCCTGACCTCAGGTGATCTGCCTGCCTTGGCCTCCCAAAGTGCTGGGATTATAACCATGAGCCACTGCACTCAGCCACCTACCTGCTTTAGTGACAGCTGGCCTTTAACTATAGACACTTTCTTTACTGGCCTAAATCCTGAACCGTTCAACTTAGTAAATTAAATACTGGAGGAAAAATAAGTAAATAAAAATGTGCATAGCACTGAGGAAGGAGATAAGCTTCAGGACACTTCTGCCAGTCAAACTCCACAGGAGACAGTGAACCTGCTCACACACTGAGCACATTGCTGCTACAATTATCTTCTGAGAAAGCCATCATACAAAGACTCTCTATAACCAAGGAACTCATACAGAGTCTTCACCTATGAAAATGTCCAGAGTCAAATCAGGGTACAATAAACAGTAAACATTAAAGTCATATCCTCAAGGGAAAAAAATGGAAATAAACACAGTTGAATCACAAATAAATTAAAAAATAATTAAAATAGCCTATCCAAATGAGAATAAACCAGAAAATTAATTTGAAAAATATGACAAAACAAGGTTTTCTAACACCCCCCAAAATTCTCACCAGATCGCCAGCAATGGATCCAAATCAAAATGGAGTCTTTGTAATACCACGTAAAGAATTCAGAAGGTTGATTATTAAGTTATTCAAAGAGATACAAGAGAAGTATGAAAATCAACATTAAAAAATTAAAAATCATTTAGGATATGAATAAAAAATTTTCTAAAGAGATAAATATTTTAAAGGAAAACTAATCATAACTCTTGACAGTGGAAGGCACATTTAGAAGTTACAAAATGCAATGGAAAATTTGAACAACACACTAGACAAAGTAGAAGAAAGAATATCGGAGCTCAAAGACAAGGTTTTTGAATTAACCTACTCAGATAAAAATGAAAAAAGAATTAATTAAAATAAATGAACAAAGCCCCCAAAAAACATGGGATTATGTTACATGGCCAAACCAAAGAACCATTGCTGTTCCTAAGAGAAAAAAAGTTTGGAAAACTTATTTGAGATAATAATGGAGGAAAACTTCCCTGGTCCTGCAAGATTTAGACATCCAAATACAACAAACTCAAAGAAGTCCTGGGAAATTCATTGCAAAAATACATCTCCAAGGACATCACAATATAGTATATTGAACTATCTAAAGTCAACCTGAAGAAAAGAATTCTAAGAGCAGT